GCCTTTTCTGACGTGCTGTAATGGCATCGCGCTGTCTGCCTCCTCCGTTCAGAACGTGTAGCGACTCCGTGGCTGACTGGTATCTTCCTCGTCGTTCCGTCGGTCTTCGTCAGCCGTCTTTGTGCTTGTACGCCCCCGGCTGGCAGAGGGCAATGAGCAGGTTCTAATCGCTGAGTTTTCGTAGTCTGCCTCGGTCCGCAAACATCCTGCGCGGCCGTTGGTAACCCGGGCGACGACTGAGCCAGTATAATTTTTGATGGCGTCAATGCCATGTGTGACAGGTGGCCAGATTTTACGTAGAATTGCCACAGTCTCCAACTCTTTTCCATTTCAACCGGCCTTGGGACCGGCAACGGCGGAGTTAAACGGCGTCGGAGTTAAACAACTGCGGAGAAAATGATATTTTGTTTTATTGTTGTTGACTGACACTGTTTTGTACATAGTTTAAAGATTTTTGAACATAATACGCGGCCTACGGTTATATCACAGTAGCTGGTGTATGGTTATATTAATTCGTATACGAGTTTATACTGATTAGTAGGAAGCGCGACTCTGCGGGAAGTACGGAAAACTTTATCGTAACCGCATCAGCAAATGATGCTGCGTTAAGAGGATTTTGCTTCTCGTTTCTCGGCTCGTTTTATCCAAGCACAGTATCGAATTTCTTTACTCAAGGGAGTCAGCAATTGAGAAGAAGAATCTTTCGTCTCGAAACAGATCGCGCCCGCACCTCTACAATACAAATCCGAACCTCTTCCGTCTTTGTCATTGCTCATTGACCGATAGCTTTTTATCATCTGTCATGCCATCGACCAAAGGTATCGAGGTAGACGCAGAAGTGTTTAAACAACAATGACATGCATTCTGAGCGTAACAGTCTAGGTGAACAATTTAAAGAGTCATTGAATTGCTTTGAGGTACAATTTGAGTTGTACCAAATTTGAGTATGTGGTCGTCTTTATATTTAATAACTCAGGAATAACATTTCACTCCACTGATTTCAGTTCTCTGATTTGCATTGTGTTACTCACTTCATTGAATATGATAAACTGCTTGCTGCCTTACAGGAGTTCTGTACTATTTTTTACACGTCTGAAAGATTCGCTTCTGCGCTTGGTAGAGTGGTACTACGTTTCATAGCAAATTCAGAATAGAAGCAAAGATGCTTGAAATATGTGCTTTAAGAAGCGCGTAAATAATTGTCATGAGTTACGCCAAAAGCTGTCTGCAGCATACTTTGTCGTAAATCTCTATCATGGATCTTGCCAGCTTCGACGCGGTCATTTCAACAGCCCTGCCTCCACTTGCATTGAAAAGATTGCAAACGATTGGCATCAAAATCCTAGTGTAAGTATTTTCCAGTTCTGCCTTCGTTGGATAGCTATAATAACATATGACTTACGTATTAGACTGCATGCCAAAGTGCCATCTGATATTCAGAAAAAACATACCTGATGCTGCATATCCTTAACAGAGATGTAAAACGAATCGGAACCAAGCATCTAGCGTCTTTCAGATCCGTATTAACGCTGAAGACCAATCGAATATTTTCAAGACTGGCCCATTCCAAATCATCGTCCACAAATCCGCCATGCGATATAATCTTTCATAAAATAAGTTCTGTACTTAAACAAATGCGGTTGTAAAAAATAAGCATAACTATGATTATCAATATATGGCCAAAGTTATACGAAACTCTAATACTAGACAAATTTTCATCACTTAATCCTGAAATTATCATCCGCTACTACGTACGATTTTTATGGGCTTATAATTGTGCATTAATTAGCACCGAGATCCTGAAACTCGGGTGATCATCCATAAGCGACACAGTTTAAGGCACACGGCGGTATTTCTACTCGACAATGCGTATGAAGGAAACATCATGCTGCTGAGCGACTCCGGAAGTAACCAACTGATACTTGCCTAAAAACAGGCTCGTAATCTGAGCTTTAGAACCAAAACTCAAATGTCACAGGTTTGAGTTTTGGTCGGGTCACTTGTCTTTCTTCCTTCCGAGGTTGATATGCGAGCACTAGTTCATGGCAAGAAAGTAGGAAAATAAACGCTATAGTGGTCACAGAACGTTAGATACTGCTCTAAAAAAGTGCAAGTCAGTCCGAGCTGATGACACGGAAACTAAGATCAGCGCAGCAATATGAGCTTCATGAAAAAAAGATTGCCACAAATGACCAGCAACCATGGCAGTGCAAAGGCTGACGTCCCTACGATTAAAAGCTTTCACTTTTTCTTCATACTAACCGAAAGCGTGTGAGATTCGGAGAGAGAAGGGAGCCTACAACTCAATGAAAAGAAGGCATAGATATAAAAAGTGACTGTAGCGATTGATATTTAGAAGATTAATAATACGCAAAATATGGTTATATCGGAACTGACAATTTCAGTTATCTTAGAACAGACGTTGATGGTGACATCAATGATGATCCTGTTGCGAACTAGAACAGAGGGCACGTCAAAATTTTAGGAGAACTATATGATATTTCGAACGATCGAACTGCAAAAGCAGTCACAAAACTTTTGACAGCTGTCATATTCACATCCTGCGAAGTACCCTGAAAAAAACTGCAAGGCCGAGTTACAACAAAGCATTGGTGCTGATTACTCCCCCCTCCGCTTGAACAACTGATAAAGGCTGGTAACAAAATCCAAAAAAAAGAGAAAGGAACTCGAAATTTTCTTATGTCAAATGTCCACTGACAAGGGAAGAATTTTATTTTACTGCAGAAATTGGAAACATCTAGCTGAGGAAAACCTGATTAGAACGAGAAAGATGTCACTGGCTCAATGACGGACGCTGCGCAGCGTATAATTACTACGCTGTGCAGCGTACTATTTGAAACGGTCAAATATGAAATTTCCTGTCTGCAATTTTCCAGCTTTTTAGAATTAAATCACAACTTGAACAAAAGCAGCTGGCAGCATGAAAAGATGAACACCACTACAATTCCGGTAGTCCCACTATAGTCACTTCATTTTTTTTCTAAATTAAGAGATTCATCAAGGCCTCAACGCGGCCTTTTTACAACCTGACACTATTGTGTCCGTGAAGTAATCGCATTCAAGCCATGAACCTGGTTCCGTAAGACCTGTGATCCAAACGAAGAACATATACGTCAAGCTTATTGTGTCTTACAGATGGTTTATAACTGTGAGATGTGGGACTGCTGCAAGTCATGCTCTGAATCGGACAGTGAGGGCGCATTGGTCAATCGTCGAAAATTATTTGACTAAAAAACCAAAAATGTATATTCCTTTCAAAAAATTATCTGTGAAATCTCATTTCGAATGTGAGCTTCAGCCGGCTTGAAACATTCTTTGAAAGCACGCCAATTACTACAGTATTTCATTACTGTTCTTCAACATTGCCTGTACGGGTTCTCACGGATTTTTGGTGTTTAGAAACGTTTGCCACAGCTTTGTCATTCAAATATAATTTTTTGTCCCATTGTCAACAGAGACAAATATATGGAGGTCAACACTAATTTTGGCAGCATAACAGTGCAAGTACTAGAAAACTGATCTATTTTAATTTCATTACGGTGCTGTAGCAAGCATCGCAGAGCACGCTGAACATTCCTGAGGACTCGAATATTCCTTGCAGAAGAAGAACAGCGAAATTTGTTCGAAATGTTTTGGCTTAAGTCTTGTATAACTTTGTCTAATGGAACATTTCTTACTGTGTGTAGTGCCACAAACCGTTTCAAAGTTGCTCTAAGAAACTTAATTTCAATAGCGTATTTACTGAACAAAAAAATGATATAATTTAAACAGGTACGATTTAAATTGATCTAAAAATTATATAGTGATTGCAATTCAATTTTAAACAAGTAAAAGTACCTGATGAAAGAAGGCAATGAGCTGACTCGAGCCCCATTTGTCAACCTTCGAAAAATTTACATCTTTCACAAACAGCAGCAACTGCTGACCTTCTCTTGGGTGATATACTCTTCCATAAGCGTTGTTCGTCACGACGCATGATTCGCTGAGACGTTGAATGATGTGGATCGGTGCTGTTTGTGGAGTGCAGTGGATCGTTGTGACCATTAGATTTTCCAGCAAGTAGGCACAATGCTTGATCAACGTCCTTAAAAGCTGTGTCAGTTTGCGACGGATTAAATCAGAATTAAGAAAACCATTTGCCGCTGCCCGACGGTCCAGCGATTAGCAGCGGTTCTGACTTCTCCTTGATAAAACAGCTGAGGTCATGAATGCTTGATTGCACCGTGACAGTCTTAATCAGGGGCAACTCATCTTCCAAATCGCTTAGTGTCAACTGTTCATCTATTTCATCTGCATATGTCATCGGCTGGTCGTGTTTCTCATCATAGGCCAAGTTCCATGGTTCAGCCGAATCTGGAATTGTCAGACCTACCCACTGGAAAACCTGAAGACTTAAACTAGCAGTTTTGCAATTGTACTAGCGGTTATTACTTCTTTAATGAACTCATCTTTCGTTTCTCTCCTTACGTTCCCAACGAAGCCTCGAATCATGGCTAGAATAAACTGCACTTCCGTCTGAGTATCGACCAGTTGAAAACAACCGTTTAAGG